GGGGCAAGAAGAGTAAAATTAAGAGCTGTAGAGGGGGTTTCAAGGGGAGTACTAAATTCTTTAGGACTTACATCCTGGGTTGGGAGGCGATGGTAGTGAACCTCGACTGTTTTCTTAAGAGCTGTATTGACTTGTCTTTTGATAAGATCTGTGATTTTTTTGAAAATCCAAGGTTCAAAAGAGAGGATTAAAAGGAAACTAATTAGGGGTCTAAGGAGAGGGAGGAGATAGGGAAGGACACCATTCCACATATTCCATAAAGGGTTTTTAAAAAGTTCTTTGCGCCTTTGTTTTAATTCTGTTTGATGTTTTTTGATTCTGTCCCTTACAATGCCTGATTTATTAGCATAAAAACAACATTTTTCTTGGAGGGTGAGACAAATTCCTCCTTTATCTGCGGTTAGTAAGTCTAAACTTCGACGATTTTGAAGAACTACTTCAGCTAGGGAATCAACTTGGTCTTGAATGTCTTTTAGAGATTCATACATGACATTTAAATCTGAGATTAATTGTTGAGATAATTTTTGATAGGAATCTACTGCAATTCCTACTCCTGCTGATCCGGTACCTAGGGCGGCAGTGACACCAAGTCCTACTAGGAATGGAATGAACTGAAGGGCTCTTTTATGTTTGGGGGTGAACATATCAAAACTCGGGAGGGGGACAGGCTCATCTCCCGGAAGAATGTCTATATCGGGAGCTAATAAAGCAGGGGCACATAGGCCTGTCCAATTTATAGGTAAGAAAGGGTAGGCCATATTGTCTCCGCACACAAATACTTTATCAGGAGGGAGACATCCAGGCTGGGAGGAGTTAATAATGAGAGGACAAGAAGTAAAAGATATAAATCCTAGATTAACATCAAAAGAATTGTTTTGCTTGGGGCTCCAATAGCATGTGGAAGCACTAAAATTGAAAGGTTGAACTTTAAAGGGATTGGTATTGTTGTAATTAGTTAGGGTAGGATTAAGGGGAGTGACGGCTGGCGCCGAGAAGGCCAGGGGCCAAGAATGTCCTAAGGTTAGACAAAGCCAGCAGTCCGAAGCCAGTAGAGAATTGGTGGAATTAAGGAGTAAATGGGCAGACTCAAGGATGTACATAGTTTGGGGGTTTAGGTCGACACCTTTGGGCACGACTTTAAGGAGGGGATTATAGTTGGGCTTTGGAAGTAGGTTTTCTGTTTGACGTTGAATGGTTTTTTGGACTATCTCTTTTCTGACCATGTCTGTGGGTCCCCCACCGTCTGAGATGTGAATGGGAGCATTTACAGGCCAGCAGGCGGGCTCTTCTACTGGAGCAAGGCAGGAGGCTTGCGCATATTTTGTGGATCCTCCGGGACACTGGACTACACAGGTGTTGGAAGTCCAGTCTCCCCCAAATGAACCAGGGAGGGTCCGCGTGGGGGTGGCTGTAAAGAATTGATTACCGTCCTGAAGGCAGACGGCTACTTGGTGGTAACAGCTAGAGTGTATGGCCGCGACCTTGTTACACTTGTCGGGGCAGGTGTGGTTTGGCTTCGTAGCAAGAGGGCGTGGCTTGTCAAAACACTGCCAGCGTTGGGTATACCCACCGGTGGTGGATTGAATTGGTTGTAGGATCGCTGTACGAGTC